AAGAGATTGGATTTATACCCCACCCTTCACTTGGAGTCTCAGAGCGGCTTACAAACTCCCCACAACAGACACCCTGTGAGGTGGGTGGGGCTGAGAGAACTCTGACACAAACTGCTCTTTTTCAAGGATAGCTGTGCCAGAGCTTGAGACTGACCCAAGGTCACATCAGCAGGTGCAAGTGGAGGAGTGGGGAATCAAACCCGGTTATCCCAAATTAGAGTCTGCGCTCTTAACCACTACACCAAACTGGCTCTGGAAGCCAGGGAAATCACACTGGAGAAGCCGGGGCAAAAAGGAAGAGAAGGGAGGAATCGCCTATATCCCAAATTGTGAGGGGAGCTCCGCCCACCATCGAGGAAGGCGGGGCTTAGAGTGCAAAAGCAAGAGCCATCTATCCAGATTGGTTCAGTTTGTAACAGACAGCAGCCCATTCAGCTCACACTCCTGTCCGTCGGTTTAACTGGGACAGCTTTATTCTGCGGGCAGCAGGGGCACTCGCCCAGGCAGCCAAGGGGGCCTACCATGCGCAAGAGAGTGACTGCACCCCGTCCAGCATGCAAGGAAAGTTGGACACACAAGCCCTGACCTGGATAGTCCAGGCAAGCCCGATCTCGTCAGATCTCGGAAGCGAAGCAGGGTCAATTCTGGCAAGTACTTGGATGGGAGACCTCCTCGGAATACCAGAGGCGGGAGGGCGGGGGCAGGCTTTATTCAGGCACCTCTCTGAATATCCTCCAGGCCCCCAGTAGGGGTCAGTCATGAGAAGTCGCCATGACTTCCAGGTGCGCGCACACACACACAAAATACCAAAATAAAAGGAAAGTTGGACAAACGACACATGTTGGCCCCTCACCCCTTCCTCTGTTCAATCGGGGTTAAAAAGTGATTAAGAACATAAGAGAAGCCAATGTTGGATCAGGCCAGTGGCCCATCCAGTCCAACATTCTGTCATACCAGGGGCCATCAGGAGGTTCAGCAGTGGGGCCAGGACACTAGAAACCCTCCCACTGTTGCCCCCCCAAAACACCAAGAATACAGAGCATCACTTGCCCCAGTCTGACAGTTCCTATCTATACCTTGTGGCTAATAGCCACTGATGGACCTCTGCTCCAGCTGTTTATCCAATTCACATAGCATTACCTAGCTCTCAACTATCGGCTTTTTAATTGATTTTTTTCTCCCCTTTAACAAATCTGCTACCTTTCGAACCATTAAGCAGAGGCTTTTGGACCTAGAATTTCATAAATTAAATCCTTTGCAGCATTATTTTTCTTCTCAGGCCAAACTAAACATTTCTATTCAGCAAGGGAAAATGGCCAGTTACCTTTACAACCCAGATCACCCTTCTCGTCGTAGAGCTTTTACATTAGCACAACTAAATATTTTTCCTTCAAAAATATTAAACTGGTTGGTATAACAAGGTCCCGTTCCATGAAAGGACATGTATCTGTCCTTTAAAATTAATAGATTCAATCCGTCCCATCATCTTGGACTACCAATTGCACGCAGGTCCACATAAGAAACTCCTTTCCTCTCCACTATACCCTAAACATTGTATTAGCGATGGAATAATACGTTTATTAAATGACGCAAACCCAGACATCACAGCTCTGGTTGCTAAATTCTTGGCTGAAGTGGTCAAAGATAGACACAAGCTCTCCGAATGATTAACCTCAGGGCTATTTTTGGGCAGGAACGCACAGGAACAGAATTCCGGCTGGCTCCCAGGTTGGCCACGCCCAGCAGGAACTTATTAGCATAATAGGCCACACCGAATAGCAGAAACTCATTAGGATTGGCTACATTAGGGGTGTGTGGCCTAACATGCAAAGGAGTCCCTGCTACAAAAAAAGGCCCTGGGTTTTGACAACAAACAAGGTAATGACCACAGTTCTGGTAACATGTGGGTGTGGCCTAATGTGCTAATAAGCTGTGCTCAATGTTCCCTCTAAGCTGAGTTAGTGTGAGCTAGCTCATAGTTCTTTAGCCTCCTGCTCACACATTTTTGTCTTAGCTCAGGGAGGAGGGCTCCAGAGCAAATTAATTTATGCAGCAGCCAAATCACTCGCTCACAACTTTAATGCCAGTAGCTCACAAAGGAGAATTTTTGCTCACGGGACTCCACAGCTTAGAGGGAATATTGGCTGTCAGGGGTGTGGCCCAATATGCTAATGAGTTCCTGCTGTTGGGTGTGGCTTATTATGCTAATGAGTTCCTGCTGGGCTTTTTCTACAAAAAGAGCCCTGGACTAACCTTATTTTGCTGTCTCTGTAATACCTTCTTAATTGGGAGGAGGAGTAAACACCCAAGAAGATAGAGTTAAAATTCAACAAGACCTGAATATTCTGAAGAAGTGGGCCGTTGCCAACAGGATGCAATTCAACAAAGATAAATGCACAGTATTACATCTGGGCCACAAAAATGTCAAGCACAAATACTGGATGGGGGGTACGTTTCTGGGGAGTAGTGTATGGGAAAGAGATCTTGGGGTAAGGGTGGGCTGTAAACTAAATATGGGCAGTCAGTGTG